TACCTTAACCAAAATCAAAGTAGACTATCACTCACCCACACCAGATGGAAAACTCTACAGACTGTCGGTTCACACCCCATCACAAGCCAGCAAAACATCCACGAAACAAAGAAAGGTCTGTCACAGCCAAAAATACACTCCAGACACGCCGCTGGCACTAGAGGCACAGCATGGCCGCCTAGTAACGGCCCCGACCACTATATATATACACAGAGAGAGAGAGAGAGATACGGAGAGAGAGAGAGAGAGTAGCAAAGTTGAGTGTAGTAGCATAGAGTAGCATCGAAGTCGAGTCTAGCGTCGAGTGTAGCCAGCGTCGTAGTGGAGTGTAGCCGAGTAGGACTGATAGCGTGCAGTAGCATCGAGCGTCAATTGTAGCCAGCTAGTTAGGGGCGCCGTTTCTTTCTGGCTCCGCAGGCGGTACTACTGTGTACCGGCCAAAACTTTGCCTGGGGAGTGCCACGCTCGGCACTACCGGGCCAGGGCCTACCGGGGCCTACTGGCCCAACGCTCGCCTTCAAAACGATCAACAAGCTATCCAGACCGTGCGGTATAATGCTGCCGACGGTCCAGATTGCGAGTTGATTACATCCAAAACGATCAGCAGCCAGTCTTGACCGTCTCGCGCCAAGGAAACTGAGGGCCCAGATCGGCTGCTGGTCACAGGTCGCCAAATAGTAATTGTTATAATGTAGTGACTTCTATCTTTTCTGGCTTTTCTTGACTACTATCTGTTTCTTGATGCTTGCCAATAATAAGGTACCTGACTACTGGCCTCCAGAATAGATGGGCTTGTGTGTGTTTGTGGAAAAAGAAAGGAAAAAAAAGACCTCCATAGATGTGGGTAACATTGACAAAGCAAGATAGCTTAGCGCAAAGGCTCACTGAATTCAAGATAAAGGGATCATCTTATTTTATTATGATTTATAAAGGAAAAACATGCTCCAGTGTATTCGTGGGGCGCAACCCGTGCTGGGGACCAGGCCCAGCGTCCCCTATGAAGGGATCATAATGCAAGGAATATAAGAAGATAAAGTGGGTAATAAAGTGGGTGATAAAGTGGGTAATAAAGTAGGCTAATGAAGTGGGTAACATGGACTGGAGCTGATATGCGCAAAGACAGGCTGAGCAAGATAAGTATTATAATTTAAGAGGCTCAACAAGCCCACGTGAGTAACACAAGGAAAAGAAGATCATGAAGTGCCTCCAGGAGGAACCCTTGAGATGGTAACCATATTCCAATTGACATAGTACCATTACTACCACATCATGGAGAGGAGAGAGACATTTAAATTTCGAAGTCAGGGCTCGACCCTCAAGGGAAGTATACCCCCCACACACACAGACCAAAAGAGAAAGCAGAAACAAGTGCAGACCTGGCAGGTTTCAAACTTGATGGGGGAAAAAAGCACACGCGGGCAAGACAAACAGCCGCCAAATTCGAATGGGCACGTGCAGGCGAAATAGATCTGTTGACGCTTTTTTTCCCCTGCTTTCCCGTCTGACACCATGGCCCACCCCTGTAGCTATGACACCTGTGTCTCTGTCACGGACGCGGTGCTTTCATTGCCTTTTCGAACCCAGCGGCTGTTTTCTTTGCTCGTGCGTGTTGTTTTTGCCCATTTGAAACTCTTTCTGACATAAACACACTTGCCCCCCCAAAAAAAGACGAAGGGAAAAACGTGGCATTGTGTACATTTGCCCGAAGATTGCCTCAACCAAGCCAAAACTGAGAGAATGAAGTCTCTATTAAGAGTAGTAATACCCTAATGCCAGGTAGTAGGACCAGACTACACATTCTACAGTGTCACAAGGTAGTCATAGGGTTGGAAGGAGAAAGAAACAAGCACAGCAGAAGCGTACCATCGATGCGACCGAGCGCCGTAGGTCCAAGCAAGATACCACCTGCAGACATATTCAACAGAAGAGACATGACACCCATGTTAAGATTTGAGACACTTTTTGAGAGTCCTGCAACCACTTCCGTCGATCCAAAAAGAGTCGTGCAGTACCCACACCATGCAGCCGAATGGTACACATGTAACTGTTTGTAAAGAGATGACAAGCTCGAATCCCAAGGGAATTTTTACATGGATAGACAAAAGAGTCATGCAGTTGTTCTCAGTATTAAGCTGATTCAACTGCCAGGTGCCTACATCGATTCCAATAAGGTGGACAGCAAGCGGAAAGCCGGTTCCAATAATGTGCCGTGGGCTTTCTATTGGCCGTGCTAGCATGAACGCTAATCATGGGGGTAGAAGTGGGAATGGCAGCAGGAGTGCTGGTGGCGGAAACAGCAGCGGAATGATGATGTGTGCCATGTTTCATCTATTGACGACTCACAGCAGCGAGTCGCGATCGGTGGGTGAGTGTCGGTCGGACTCAGTACCCCAGTGGTAGTCCTCTAGCAAACAGAGGCCTTCAGAAGTTGTGTTTGCCAGCGTATAGCACAATTGGTTAACAGGGACCCCCACTTTTCAGCCCCAGGTTAACCTCCCAAACACTGAAAAGTGCATTTGGGGATCAAATTTTTCAGTTTCTTAAACTTTTTTTAACTCTCTTTTTTTTTTTTTTTTTTTTTTTTTGCCCTGTGTTATTTTTGGTCAAGGTCTGCGTGTGCCAAGTCTGGTGTTTGTTGGGGTCTTGGAGATGACTGTTTTAGCCAGCCCTGAAAATCCTGCAATTCCTAAAAAAAACTGAAAAGAGCGAATTTTGCATGGAAACACACTTTTGCCTTGGGGTTTTAGGCCCTTTGGTCCATTTTTTTCCTTTTGTTTTTTGCTGTTGGTTTATTTGGTGTCTGCTCTATGGACTGGTGAGCGGCGTTTGTTATAATGACCCTGAAAAATCCTGAAAATTTAGGCCTTTGTTTCTCGCGTATACACTCATGCCCCATCTATTCTGAAGGGCGTCGGTACGGTTGCTTATCAGCGGCAAGCATCAGTTCCCATCTCGCTGACTTTTTGTTAAATTTGAAATATTTTGCTCACGCAATAAGATTGAACAAGGATTTTTTTGCTGTCACTTTTGAGTCTTGACCCTTCTAGATGTATGCGAAAAGGGGTAGATGAGAGGTTGTGTTCCGTTTATTTTCCCCTTTTTTAAACGAACTCGGATGGCTGGCAGCCTGCCCCCAAGGGGATAGGGGCCAGGTTTCAGGTCTGCCCCCTTCTTTCACGGCTCCATGTACTGGTGGGGACCACCGCCTGCTCACAACTGGGGCCATCATGCCATAGATACATTAAGATAGACGAAATGACAGGATATCAAGGAGTCCAGAAGCATTGATTACTTCCCCTCACAGGGAGGGATTTACTGCTACAGAACGGACTTGACAGTCAGCCTCTTCAACCAGTGTTCCACCCATCGCCAGGTTGTCATCAACCAAAAAAAAAAAAAAAAAAAAAAAAAGATTGTCATCACCATCAGGTTGACATGGGAAGGATGGGAAGTGCAACGGTACTCTTGCCCCAGCTATAGGCCGGGATAATTTCTGCTACTTCTCTGTGGGACCAGACCGTCGGCCATCCAGGGGACAGATGGGAAGGACGGGAAGGATGAGGATAATCTGACAACTGCCCGTGCTGGGGGTGGTGGTCCCAAAGCCTCAATGTTTTTCACTACAACGTATTGGTAGTAGGGTATCCATATCATTTAGGGTCAGCAGGTGTTGCTCCCCACCAATAGATTGGAGCATCCAGCAGTAGGCTACTAGGTGGAGGCACTCACATTGCTCCACGTAGTATACCGAGGCTGGCATCTTTCACAGAAAAGGAAAAAAGAAGGATCAAGGACAGCTAACTCCAAAGGCAGGCCTCTTGCCCACTTCTCCACATTGCCTAACATTTCTCATTCAAACTGCCATTTTGGCATTTTGTTAAAAATGACTTCTCTTATGCTTGCATCAATTTGCATGAAAATAAACGTCCAAAATCTCCCAGTTTTCTGTGTAATTCTTTTAAACCAATAAAACTATACAAATAGAATGTATCAAAAGTAGTACTTTACTACTAAATCATGCCTTAAGAGTATTATTTATGCTTGCAGTCGGGTAAATATCACTCCACACACAGAGACACACATGCACTCACATACGCACACACAAAGACAAGCACTCACACACTCACGTAGCCACGCACACATGCACTTGGCCACGCACAGATGCACGCGTGCTCACACACATGTAGCGACCCACAGATGCACGCATGCACGTATGCATGTAGCTACCCACAGATGCACAAACGTAGCTAAGCAAAGATGCATGCATGCACACGCGCACGCACCCACACACCCACACACCCACACACCCACACACCCATCCACCCGTGCACTCACGTCCTCAGGCGCACACACATAGCTATGCACAGATGCACGCAAGCACACGGGCACACGGGCACACACCCAGGCCCCCACCAGCCGGAGCACAAATGGTTATAGATCCGTACATCTGGGCCTAAGTCCTCCTCCGTGCAAGAACAGATTCGAACCGGCTACGTCGGCCTCAAGTCCCCACCCGCCGGCCACACGCCCACGCCCCCACGCGCCCACGCACAGACATACCCGCACGCACACACGCACACGGGCACACGGAGGCAGCCAAGCACCCGCACACCCATGCACACACGTACCCATACACAAACATACACGCACACAGAGAGAAGAGTTTGTGAGGCCTAGTGTGTGAAGGTCAGTGCTCATCTCACTCACCTGCGATCTCAGCGATGACGCGTGGCTGTCCCAGCGGGCTTAGAGAAAGAGCTAACAAACGTGTCACCACGACCACGACAAATAGTTGCATGATGAAAAGAGGCACTGAGAACTCCAGCGAGTTGTGAGGCTTGGCCAGAATGCCATCCGATACTGTACCGGCTGCCATTGCTGCCGCTTCTCCACTCCGGACTCACGCTCTCCTTCGCTACCCTTGCTTCGTTCCTCCCCCTCCACCTCCTGTTGAGCTATCGGACTTACACTCTCCTTTATCCCGTCGCTACCTTTGTTTTGTTTCTCGCCTCCTGTCCGTCTTCTTCACTGCCTATCACCCTCCTTTGTTGAGCTCCGTGTCTCTTAAACAATCTCTTCCAAGGATCTTCCAATGCGTAGCAATATTTCTCAAAATAAGATCCTATCTTGAAGTATTATATTATCTTGAAATATTTCAAGATCAGAGATAGGATAGAGTAAACCCGCATGAGGAGCCACAAAACACATAGCAGTCTCCGAACACTACAAAACAATCAGACTGGTCTTCTTACTGCTCATCCTGGCCCGTCCTGGTCCTTTCTTCTCCTTTCCCTGCTCCCCAGGTTCACATGGCGCTGACAAGGATGTCCCACTTGCATCAGCACCTGGGTTACCAGGGGCACCTGCGTCGATGCCAGCACTTGGAACAGTTGAAGGGTCAGTGGCGGCAGCGCCAGGAACAGAGGGATCTTGAGTGGTTGCAGGAAGAACTTCATTGGGTCCTGGTTCGTTCGGGTCTACCGGGGAGACCAGTGCTGCAGGTGTGTGCACACCAGCCAGTGCACCCTCCATCAGGTTGGTGGAGCGGAACACTTCGACAATCGTTTTTGTTTTGTTCGGCTTTTAAAAGGGGGAAGGCCCTTACATCAGTGTATCACTCTGATCCTGCGTGGAATTGCTCATGATCTGTTTACTATCAATTACATGTGTATACCACTCAGCCACATTGGGTGGGTCAGTTCGGTAGTCTTCCGAGCAAGGAATGGACCAAAAAGGGGAGAGCCAAATATTTTTGTAAAAGCTGGTAGCCCCTAACATTTACTGTATCCAGCAGGGTTTGAATGCTTTATCAGTTTATCAAACTGCCAGTGGACCCAAGCCTCATATTTCCAACATGGACTTTCGCCCGGCCATGAGCAATCCGACCCATTGTCACACGCGATTTGCCTGGCACCGCCCGACTTTTTCCATAGCAGACACCAAGCCTTTCCACGGCCCCGTCTTAAACCACCAGTTCACTCGAGGCAGAAAAGGGCTCTTCAATTCAGGCTTGGGCTGGTAGTGAACGCGGCAGGTCAGTTTGGAAACGTGCAGTCTCGGGCTCGTGAGCCTTGGAAGGTAGCTTCATCAACTTAGGCTCACATGAACTGGTGGTTTAGCTGGAAGGAATCTTCCAAATGGATGGCCTGTCCACTGGTGGTTCAAAACAGTCACAGGTGTCTGCCATCCGGCAATGCGTCATGTAGCAGCCAAAGAATCTTTACGGGTGCTCCGCTCTCGCGAGAAATGCATCCTCATCCGTTGGGATATCACAATCATTAAAATGGGAACGATACAGATAAGAAGAATAGCATGGCCCCTGCACAAGGATGACATTCACAAATTGAGAACTGGTCAATGCACAGGGTTCGTGAAAACCTAACAAAACCACAAAACCCAGCATTTTTTACAGAATTAAAAAGTAGAAGTCAAACTGTTATTTTTGACACAAAAAAGAGAGCGTTTTTAACCATTTCTCGAGAGAGGCGGCCCGGTTTTTGGCCGCCTCTCTCGAGAAATGGTTAAAAACGCTCTCTTAACCATTTCTCGAGAGAGGCGGCCAAAAACCGGGCAAAAATCTAAGCCATCCTTAAAATGTGTAGAAAAACCCTTTCCAGCAAAGATCCTGTTATAGGACTACAAGGTCTTTTTTTTTTTTTTTTTTTTTTTTTTTTTTTTTTTTTTTGAACACAACCTCATGGTTCTGGATCCTACCATTCTGGGGAGCAACAGTCCGGTTCCTTTCCCTCAGCAAGTCAATAATAGTTACATAAGAGACTCATGCACGCTCCTCCCCATTATGGCTGGGAGGCCCGGGTGGACGACATTGATTACTTCCCTGAGGAAGGATGTCCCACCCCTCACCCCTGCCTAAGTTAGCCTGAGTTATCACACCTTTGACCATCCCTGTGATCCCAATTCTACTACTCTCTATGTTGAAACTGTAAGATAATTGTGTTTTAACTAATCCTCTGGGACACGTATGGTACTTCTGAAAAAGAGTTGCAAATCGAAAACCGTATTTGCCTGAATTCTGCTTGAATCATAAACCCTGAACCCTCGGTTATAAGGCTGCCGTGTTTTACTCTTTCTGGCCCAAGAGATAAAACTTGTGCTGTTCTTCAGCCCTACAACTTTTGACCATGTCTCTCCTACCGTGTCATACCTATTATATCAAGCCTAGGTTAACTGATTGTAATGGTGTCAGTACAGGAGTTGTCGAGTCTTATGTCTCCTCATGTTGAATTCTGTGATGGGTCACTGCAATTCTCCAGACTAATTGTGATGTATTGCCTTCAATGTTTCCTAGCTTTCCTTCTCCCAATCGTTCTTTTTCAAATTTGTCAACAATTTCCCATTGCTTCGTAGGATCTAACTTTATGAGCTTCGACGCTTTGTTCCAATCTGCTTGATATTCGTCTTGTAGAAGGTGCAGGAGGATCTGCCAAGCTTCTGGCTCAGATATAGACTGAGTGGTTATTGTCTCCTTGCACCTTCTTTTCCATATTATCCATAGTGTAAGAGGTCGCAGTCTCCGAAAGAAAGTTTTTTGCCATGCCACAGCTAAGTTTGGCTTGTGCAATCCAGTTAGCCATGTAATGTTGTTGCCAGGTAGAGGTGTTTCTGTTAGAGAAACCCACAAGGCTTCTGTTCTGTTCCACATCTGTGTCGCCTTTGAACAGGCAAGCAAGCAATGTGGCAGGTCTTCTGAGACACCCTCATGACAAATAGCACAGAGGTCATCTAGTGGTTGTCTGTCCATCTGTGAACGACGCCTGCTTAGCCACTTATTCACGGGAAGCACAAGATAATAGATGAGTCATTGCATACTCCTGATGTGGGTGTTTCTAATTGATAACGGGACTTGCCATGAGATCCGAGTCCCAGCCCCTAACCCCCTCCGAACGTGCTTCTGCCATCTTGTTAATAGAGTGTTACTTTGTGTTGACTGCTCGCCTCCGAAGTCTGTATCCAAACCTGGTTGTGTAATCGTGACCTGCGCTCTACCCTCGTTTGAGTAGAGTATGTTTTTCATGCCTACTCTGTTGGGTCGAATTCGAGATCTTGCAGCTCTTCTATGGGGTTGAAGATTCTATAGTCCTCATCCTCAATTACTCTCACTTTCTTCATTGCCCGACGTCTTTGCTGTTACTTTGTCTCCAATCATCTTAGAGACCACGCTTATAGTCTATACCGGATGCTGCATGTCATGAATTGACCACAACGCCCAATCTCCCGTTGGACCTGTGCGCTTGATGAAAGATAAGGCCATTGTCGGGATAGCTTCCCATCTTCTCGTGGCCCACTCTCCTGCTATCCATGTAGAGGGGGCATGTAGAAGCGGCGGCCATTCCAGGGGAATTGACTGAAGGAGGGCAGTGAGGTTATCTTGCAGATTGTGGCAACCCTTGAGCGTATCGCGGAGTTCCAAACATGTTTTCCATCGATTATGCTGCTGGTACCATAAGTGACTGATTCTCCAGACCCCTCACTCCAACCACTTGATCCAGCGTCCATCCCGGAAAGTTAATGTTTAGGGTTTATCGTCTTTGTTTTTTATCCACTGGTTGCAGAAGAGAGGTTGCCGTAATACCTCTTCCCTATTTGTTCGTCTGCTTGTCTTAGCTGGGAAGATCTCCCTCCAGGATTTGATGAGGTACATCCAATAATTTGTGTGAGAGTCTTGTTGTAGTTATTCTCGGTAGATTGGCAAAAACCAGAGCTCAACACAGAAAACTGGTTTAGCCTTGGTAGAAGAACGGTTCTTTGGGCTCTGTGGTGGCAGTGATGCCTTCTCCGTCTGGAAACCGTTAGAGCGGGGGATGGAGAGCTCAGAGAACAGATTAAGGAGCAGATTCAGGTGGAATTGCTGCGTAGATGGTATGATTTGAAAAGCCAGCTGGATACTTTCCAAATGGACCAGGACATTAAGCGGGCCCTTACGGCCTTCTGCACAGAATGGCTCGGGGGAGACCGAGGGGGATGGGTAGCTAAGATACAGTGGGGAGGGGATCAATCAAGTGGACAGGATGGAGTACAACAGCCCCCCCCCAGAGATTACCGCTTGGTGTTCAATGATTGGACCAATTTCGAGCCCTCGTTCCCGATGCGACCCCCTTCTGATTTCCCGGACCCTTTCCCTCCCCACCCGCTTTCTCTAGCCGAGACCCTTACTTAAGTTGCCTCCCCCGGGTGCCCCCCTGGGGTGACACAAAAGTTCCTACACGAGATTCAAGATCCGAAGAGCCGGTGAGCGCCCCGGTGTGGACAAGAAGTACCGGAGGTGGAGCCCCAAAGGCGCAGAATAGGCAGCGCAGTCACATCAGGAAGAGATGCTTTTTCTGGCGGCCGAATCAGGGCTGAAGAGATGGCTCTGCAAATGCCTACCCCCCGGCACCCCCCGGGGAATGCTTACCAGACGAAACATCATCCTTTCCCTGCACAGTAAATCCTCTGATCTCAGAGTAATCAATGCTGGCAGGAATTCTCTTTAATCCTCCTTTATCCCCTATCAGAGCGACTTCCTCTTTCATTTCAATTCTGTACAAGGGACGCTGGACCCGTTTTCCAGCAGGTGAAGCTCCCCACCAATAGATGGAGCCTCCCCTGGGTGCTAGTGGTATCTGTTTTTAACCAGTATCACTAGCACTACAGGGTGTGTCTTTGGTAAAAAAAAAAAAGAAAAAAAAGAAACAAGATAATCTTTAAGGACTGCAAGGCGAACTCAAAAGCTGTAAAAAAATGGTTTGAGTGAATATTCATTTATAGAACTACAAGCCGTTCTCAGCAGTTAGGCAAAAAAACAAGCTCTGTGAAAAGTGGTTCATAGAATCTATAAACTTAGCATAAAGCAATTTTGAAGTTAACAGTAAAACACTTGTCAAAAAACATATGCAAAATAATATTACAAACAACTCTTGCCTGGGAGGCATTTTCAACTTCTTAGCCAAATGTGATTTAAGCATAAAAAAAACGAAGAGAGAAAAAAGTTATGGCTACAATTTGGACGTCTGTACCGCCGTCCAGTTGCAAAATCATGAAGAGAGAACATGTTGCAAGGATAATGAGCGGGAGCGATGGACAGAAAATCCAGTTGCAAAATCACGAAGAAGCTCAGATAGTCGAATACCAAGAAGAGAGCACAATGCACCAAGATACCATTCCAATAAGCGCAATACGATGAACTCTGATGTCAATGTCACGACACTCTGGACACACCAACATAACTACGTTCTTGCAGCCAGATCACATCGCTGTTGAAGACCAATGTACGTGGACGTCATCTCCAATGCCGACCGCCAGCATACACCAGGTACGTGTTATCTCTTCCCCCCTCAACACCTCGTCTCCCCTCTTCTTCATGCACCTCCTACCCGAAGATCACCATCACCACCTCTGCGCACCCGCACGCTCGGCCTGCGTATGGCCGCCGTGCGCCCACTGCCACCACAGTGCCCTCACCACTTAGCGACCCCACGCGTCCCAGCCTGCCCGCTTAGCGCAGCTTCGCAGTGCAAAGCAGCAGTGTGGCCGCAATGCCTGCACAGGCCAGAATGCCCTAGCTCTGGGAGCCTGTGGCCGACACTTTCTTTTATGGAAAGTGTGCCCTGTGTCTGGGTGGCCTGGCCAGGCGTGTGGGGGGGCCCAGTAGCTTGCCTCTGGCCCCAAGTGTCTGCGCCCAGGCCCAGTTTCCGATACTGGCCTGGGCCCCGTGCAGTTAGGCACCTTTGGGCAGCCACGCAGCTTCGAAGTGTTTGCAGCATTCCCATTGGCTCTTGACTCATGTGTGTCGGCAATGATGCTTTCTCATAGTCCGTGATGTGTCGGCCTCACACAGCATGTGCCCAGGGCACAACCACCAGGGCCCTGGGCTCAACTGTACAGCGCAGCCCTTGCTTATGGAAATAACCTGGGGGCTCACATTGCTCTGCAACCAACTGGCGTGCTGCAACTGTCTGAATCCCCAGTTATGGAAAAATGTCGAAAACAGGCCTTTCATGGATATTCAAGCCCCCCTTCACTTAAGGCAGGCACAGGCTTTCTAGGGGGCGCAGCCAAGAACACTTAAATGTCTGATAAGGGCCCCGTGAGGGCTCATTCCTAGCACTGTTCACGTGTTTGTGAAATCCCCGAACATGTTCACCATGCTGCACAGCTTATAAGACTACAAACATGATGTTTTGAGATGACTCGGTTCCTGAACATACGGTGCTTCGCCTAGTAGTAATTTTGTGAGGAAAAACCTCTTTTTATCCTTGCCACTTCAAGTGGTTCTCAAAAAGTACTTTTCTATTCGAATCCTTTTTTGCGTTTGTTTTACTTCACGTAGAATTTTGCTCCTGCAGGAGGCCTGAAAATCGTATTCTGAGAAACTTCAATGGATTTCGTTCAAACCCAACATTTTTTTGAGGGGGGATTTCACGAATGCTAAAGAAGACGAAGACGAAGACGAAGATGAAGAAAAAGACGAAGATGGAGACGAAGAAGATGATTGGGGCCACGAAGACGTAAACTGCAGCCTTCCCAAGATAAACCACTAATTTCTGAACAGGAACACACAGGTGTGTACCAGTGTTACTTAGGAACTGCACAACGGTTGTCTCTTTCAAATCCGACCCAAGACCTACAGATCCCCCTCCTGGTCCTGGTCCTGGCCCTGCTCCTGCTGATGCTGCTGTTCCTGCAGTTGCCGTTGTGGCAGTTTGGTGGACTTCTCCCATGGCTAGTACCGTTCCGTTAGACAACATTTGCACCCCTCCCATGGCTAGTACCGTTCCGTTAGAGTTCCACTTGAGATAGGTTGCCTTCATATAGGTCTCTACAATGATTGGCTCCTCGTGGTTTCGTGACGCATCAACTGCAACTTGCCATTCGCCATCACGATGGCTAGTGTTGGGGAGTTGGGATCGCAGTAGCCTTCCAGTCCATCGTACCGGTCAACACCAATGATTGCAGTCTTGTTGCTGCTGTGCTGGTTGTAGTTGGTGTTCTTCTCGTCATCTGTGTTCTCATTGTTGTTGTTGTTGTTGTCGTTGTTGTTGTCGTTGTTGTTGTTGTTGTTGTTGTTGTTGTTGTCGTTGTTGTTGTTGTTGTTGTTGTTGTTGTTGTTGTGGGTTCTACCCTGTTCGCCGTGTTCGGCTACTGAATCCCACAAGAGAGGCAGCCTTGCCATTTGATTGCCATTCTGATCAAAGATATAGCATTCCCCTTGGGCCTTGGAGAGACTCAGTACAGAGTAGGGTTAGTCAGCCATCTGGTGACCATTCCACAAGGGCTAGCTGGAAAGGGAGCTCTTTGCCCCACAGTCTGTTTCCGCCGACTGATCCAACGATCACAGCTCCATCGTCGTAGACGATACAGATCTTCTGACCGCCCGATGTCCATTTCATGTCCTTAACCACACTCTTGTTTCGATAATTGAACATCTCTTCAAACCCCATGCCTGTATGTTTCATCCAAACGATGATAAGGCCATACTGATCGCTGGTGGAAAGTTTTCGGTAGTTCTCTTTCCATTGCACCACCACCACTGCACCATTATGACCTTCCAGTGTCTGATACATTGAGAGATTGTTGGCAGCTCCTGCCCCCCCTGCAGGAGTCCCTCCTCCTTTTCGCCCAGAGGCTTTCACACCTCTTGCTGGTCCGCTTTCCAACTTCAGTACCTTCAGCAGCCCGGAGTCCCCTCCACAGGCGATCCACCCCTGCTCCGAGTTCCAGGCAACACACGGCACATTAACGCCGTTCCGAATAGCTATCTTCTTGCCGAGATACACGAACATCTCTATAGATCTATTTTTATACTCCAACGATTCTACACACACACGCACACACATACAGAAACACACACACACACACACACACACACACACACACAGAGAGAGAGAGAGAGAGAGAGAGAGAGAGAGAGAGAGAGAGAGAGAGACCCAACCAGTGCCTACCCCACCATGAACGGGTCTCGGTCACCCGTTCACGAAATAGGTGAACGGGCGTCGGCGAGCCCGTCCAAGTTTTCCTTTTTGCCTGAGGGGATCCTTTTTTTCGCATTGTCTTGTCGGAGGGGTCGTCCTCCACCACTTTCATTTCTGAACTTAATTTCGGATTTTTTGTTGAATTGAAGAAAAACGAATAAAAAACGGTTTTGTGGGGGGGGGCGGGGTATGATACCGGGAGGGCTTTCTCTACTTGGCGCGTGCGTGCGTGCGTGCGTGCGCGAGTGTCTGTGAATGTGTGTGTGTGTGTGTGTGTGTGTGTGTGTGTGTGAGAGAGAGAGAGAGAGGGTACACCCGCGAGCCCTCTCTGTCTCTGCGCGCACACGCGCGCGTGTGTGAGGGAACACGCGTGCGCTCGCCGTCTCTGTCTCTGTCTCTGCGCGCACACGCGTGCGTGTGTGAGCGAACAGGTGTGCGCTCGCCGTCTCTGTCTCTGTCTCTGCGCGCGCACCCTACACACGCGCGCGCTCTCCCTCTTTCTCTTTGCACGCTCGCGCGCGCGCCCGCACGCGAGAGAAAGAGAGAGAGAGGGGGGAGGGGGGGAAGATTGATTCTCGCTTCGTGGCTCGTCAGACACGTTCCGGTTCTCGGATTGGTACTCCCTGCACAGGTAAAATCTTTTGAGGGATTTTCCCCGTAGCGCTCATTTGCCCACACCCTCGGCTGAACGTGGACTCCCATTCGAGTCAGGTCCCCTTATTTCGTGCGCGCGCGCGCACACACACCCACCCACCCACACACACACACACACACAGACAGAGAGCGAGAGAGCGAGCGAGCGAGCGAGCGAGAGAGAGAGAGAGAGAGAGAGAGAGAGAGAGAGAGAGAGAGAGAGAGAGAGAGAGAGAGAGA